TGGAACGTTTTGACGTTTACAAAAAAGTAGGGTAAACAGCGACTTTCAAGCTCGAGTGCCGTGGCTTTCAAAGGATCGCCCGCGTTTATCGGTATACTGTACGTATATGTAGCTATCATTACGGACACTTGGACTTTTTGCGCGCATTGAATTTTACGAATTCTAATAATTGATAATTAACAACGTTCGTTATTCCGTTTCGTTTACTCCGAAATAGTTTGTAATTAAAGAACAAAATACGCGACGAAAGATACAACCCATTCCCTGAATTATCAATCGTCGATAAACTACACTTTTGTAACGAAACGAAGAGAAACACAGTAGCTGTGTGTGTGTGTGTGTGCGCGGGAATTACAATGCCGACTACTTGAAAAACCATTCATTTGCAGGGTCTCTTCAATACGACGAATTGTACCAGTCAATTACACAGTCACGGGCTATTCAGAAACGCCCCGGTACAATGGAAAAGCGATATCGCGAAAGAGCATGATTACACGCGTGAACGGTTCCACGAGATGAAGCAGCAGACGCCTCTCCAAGGATTACGATTCGAAGATTTAAAGAGTTATTTCAGGTCATAGGGTTAAGTGAAGCTACCCCGTATAAAAGGGAGCAACGCATGAGCCACCCTCTGTTGTCGTGGCGCATACAGTTGTGGGAATCCCCTAGCGTGAACACGTGCTCGGTGTGGTTAAAGCACAGGGGAACTTTACGTCCTCTCATTTTGATATCAAAGAGTCCCCTTACAAGGATCTCTAAATTGATGTTCTTTGACTTTACAAAGCTTTCGCTGGGACACATCCTCCTCGTCGCTCTGGCTCCTTCATCTTCTGTTATTCTTAACTCTTATTTTTGTATACTACTCCCTTGCGTGCGCTGAAAGTGACTGGTAAAAGCTTTCACTTTATTGCCGATAATTGCAGAAGAGGGAGGCTCGTTGTTCAAAGAAGCTTGTTAGATGCAATAAACGAAAGGTCAGGAAGACACGATCTTCTTCGTAGTACGCCTGCTACAGTTGTAGTACGATCATTAACATTTATTCCTTGCGTTTCAGTGGAAATTGTAATCGTATTAATGGCGGGCCGTCGGCGCGATTGTTCTTCCTGTCCGACCGATACTTTTCTCACACGGAAGTGAGTCATGTTATTAACGTATATCGTGCACCGGTGAGTCACGAACGTGATATTTGGGTTATAATAACTTCTACGGTACGTGGTGGTATAATACCAGCAAAGGAATACCGTCGTTTCGCCAGGTCGAGGTATGTACCCCGAGGTAAAACCGGGAAAAACTGAATTTGGAGCAATTGGTAGTATGGAAACCGTGTAATGCCATCGATGAATACCTACGAAGAACGTAAAGGACAAATATAGCACCGTCTCTAAGTGAACGTAAGGTAGCACTGCATGACTATACTTGACGTGATTATAAGCGCATACAAAAGGTAGCGGAGTCGAAGCCGCCGTTGCATTAGAATTTAAAGATCCATATGCACTATGAATTACAAGTGGTTGAATGCAATTCGCTATTCTAATAGGAAGAGACACTGTTCAGAATGAGATGTGGGGTAACAGTAAAACGTTCTCCTTAGTCTATCGGTGTTTGAACGCTTAAAAAAAAAAAAAAACAACAACAACAGATTGTATCCCGTTAAATTTCCATTTAAACAATTTCTTTATATCCGTTGTTATTCCCAGGGTGCCGAAACGAGAACAAGAAAACTAGCCACCGCCGAAAACAATTCTATTCTTGAAGACTACAGAGTAAACTGCTTTGGCTGCCTTGCATCGACCCGGCGAACCTTAAAAAAAAAAGGGAGAAAGAAAGGAAAAGAACCGAATCGCCGAGCGGAGAGCGCGGCGGTTCCCTCGCGAGCAATAATGGAACGTAACAGAACGGCTGAGTGAAAGAGGCGAGGGAAAGATGACAATATTAAGAAAGCTTAAAGAAACGTTCGCCGTAAAGGTTTATTGGCGTGAAGGAGTTGTGGAGCGTGTCTACATCAAAGGCGACCGCTTCTGAACTCTATTCCCTTTCTACTTGAACCCTCACCGTCATCGTCGTCACCACCTCCACTTCTATCAACTACCACTGACGTCCATTCGCTCTGCCAAGGTTGTGCACGCAACCAGACGCCCACCCCCGAATGTGTACCCTAGGCACATTCACCACGTGCGAGTTCCTGCACCAGTGGTTATTAACATCCATTACCATCTCAAACGAGACGCATTGCGACGCACGATCGAACCGTCTCTCCACCGCCGGTTCCTACCGACTGAAGAAACGGATATTATTTTTCAATTTCCTCCGATATTTTAGAACGGCAGGTAGAAGTAATAAGCGACTCGATAGAGATCGAGGCGAAAGAAGAATCGGAAACTTATGGGGGAACGTTAGATTAATCGTATCGGGAGTACAAAGAGATTCTTTTTTGATAAAAGTGCAGTTTTCAGAGGGGTACTTTTAATTACTAATTATGCGAATTTGACGAGTGAAACACCTCTGAGATTTTTTGTATTATTAATGTTAGCCAGTTTGTGATGGCAAGCTTAACTTTGAAGTGTTCTTTCCTTTTTTTATGAATAGTGATGTGCATATATTATAATAAGATTAGTAGGGTGTATTTGTGTGTGTTGTATGTAATAAATGTAATCTTTTCAGTTTAATCTTTAACTAGTAGCGTTATCAGATGTTCTGTAAACTTGCTTAATCTGCTAAAGTAGATGCATTTCATATTATTTAATGGAAGTAATGGGCGATTAATGTAATCACTGAGAAATTAACTGGTAGTGTAAGTTTTTCCAGTGTGATTCTCATAAACTGATTAAGTAATTCAATCCGGTAATTAAGTGTTTAGTATACACACTATTAACGTTAAAACACCCAGGTAAATTTGATATGAAATAACATTTTAAGCATATTACGTTTTCATATCACATGCCAGTAGATAAACATGGTTGAACTAGCTGCATTTGATTGTTCCAACAATCTTAAACTGGTCAAAACTGAGAACACGTTGCAACATTTGTAAAGACAAAGGGTTTGAATCATTGTTGTCTGTACATTTCAATTAAATCTATCTCATAATGGATAAATTCAATGAGCTAAAACATCCATTTCTCATCAACCCTTTACCAGATATTCCATGAACATTAGCCAATGAAATTTACCACTGTGTGTAACAGCGATTCTCAACTGTTATTCCACACAGTAGCCTCTACCGTGTTAATATCCCAGTATCCCCTGTAACAACGCATGAGAACAGCCATCCTGAAAATATTGGCTAATTTATTATCAATGTTAAAAAGCAACGCCCCGTGAAGTACAAGTTAAGTAAAACAAAATATCGTTCCTTAATTCAGTAAATTATTTCGAAAACAATTAATATAACGATCACGACAACAACACCTAATTTCCCCTAAAGAGAGAAAAGCTTCAAATGATCTTAAAATCAATGCGAACCAATTACTCCTAGAAGAGAGAGAAAAAAAAGAATCAAATTCAACAACATCACCAATTTTTCCCCCCTTCAAATCAAGCATCTTTCCAAACAATCTCCTAACAATATCGTAAACCAACCAGGAAGTAATGGTGTCTTAATTATTCGCCGCATTTATTGCGAACTGTCGTCAATTACGGAAAGAAGTAAGGATAATGGGCGCGGGGGGAGCGGAGGAAGACCTGGGCGGGAGGAGGGGAGAGGACTCACGTCGACTACCGCGGTTCTATCGGTTTTTACTGAATTATTTATAAAATCGCTGATTGATATTCACGATTATCAGGAGAGAGAGCGCGCGCGCTCGCACACCGTAAGCATATGTATTGTTTTGATAAAGCCGGAGCGAGGAGTGGTGGAGGGAGGAGAGGAGAGCGCGCGTGTAGCGGATTCGTATAGCGAGAGCCCGCGGAGACGAGGACTCGCGCGCGACAAGGCTTCAGGATGAAGGAGCAGAGTGAGCGAGAGAGATGGGTAAAAGGGAGAAAGAGAGGAGAGAGAGAGAGAGGGAGAGAGAGAATGAAACGGACGTGGAACCGGAACGATCGTGGAGGCTCGAGGGAAAAAAGGTAGGGCACGAAGCGAGGAACGAAACTGCGACTGGCAGAAAAGCTGGTGGAACGACTCGAGAAGAAAACGCACGGCTGCGTTCGGTGGTGGGTACGTCAAGAAAGAGAGCTCGATTCGTGAATACACGCGCCCCGAGACGCGCAAAGCTCTCGTGGCTAGGAGCAGAGTGAAAGAGAGCGGGAAAGGGAGGGAAGGACCGAGAGAGAAGTAGAGAGAGAGAGAGAGAGAGAGACGAAGAGAGAGAGACATAGAGTTGATCCCCGTGAAAGAAAAAGGTGGAGGAGGGAAAAAGAGACGGAAACAGGGGGCACAGAGATGAGGACGAGAACGAGGAGGCACGAAACGGAAGGAAATAAAAATCGAGGAGGGAAAAAGGATGAGAAAGTGACCGGGGGAGAAATGAAAAGGAGTCCGGGGACGTAAACACCAGCGGTGTATTTTGGAGCGGGTGATTCTCGATGTTACGCACGAGGAAATCACTGCCGTCGTTCTTTTTCTTCTACTCCTTGTTTTTTTCGTTTCTCGAAGTACTGGCTGTCGTGGTTGCGACGACGGCCAAACATCGTTGAGTTTTGATCTTCTGGTACACAACACACGGTCGAGCCGATACACGCGCGGTCCTGCGACAGGAAGGGACGATAGATAGAGGAAAAAAGGAAGAGCTAGGCGAAAGAGAAGAAGTTGGTGGTGGATGAGGAAGAAAAGAAGGAGGAAAAAAGGAAAAAGATGAAGAGAAGGAGGCGAAGGAACAGAAAGAGAAAGAAGGAGAGTGGAAGAGAAGCTGGAAAAGAAGAGGAGAAAGCGAGCGAACCAGCGAGTGAGTGAATGAGCGAGCAAGCGAGCGAGCTTGCAAACAAGTGAGACGAAGAGAGGGAGAGGGATTTTAAGAAAGGAATCGGTGCTCTCGAAAAAGAAAAGACGGTAGTGGACTTACTCGGTATATCCGACGGTGCTTGTATTTGTTAATGCCGTGATGACGATGCGTCCCTCCGGCGAGACCGACGTTCCATGATCGAGAATGTCAACTATCGGCGAAAAATTGGTACGAGCTGAAACGCAGACACATCGTAGCTCTCTTTGTCGTCCTTACTTTCTCGCTCTCTCCTAGCGATGACGACGATGATTCGGCGTGAACTCTCGACACTTCGACACGACGCACACACGCACCACACTCGCGACGAAATATACACACCGTGCTATTTCACCGTAATAATAAAGACGACTTGACACGCGGAAGGCATGCAAAGTGTTTCCCGATCGCATGGAGTAAACAGAGATCACGGTGAATTCACGGGAAATCGGACACTAGACGGCTAGGCATTTCGCGGCTCGTCTCTCAGGCACATCTTGGTCGCCATCGAGATCTAACACGAGTGCGCGGGACGCGCACTCTCGCGGCCCCTGCCTAAACTTGCCCCTTCAAAGGCCGGCCAATCAACGGGCCGCATGGCCTATGCCCTTGCCGCGAGCAGTCCTGTATCTAGTTGACGCGCCGTCATTCATTCATCTCTTGGAATTTTCTTTTTACGGAACAATAGAAGAACGAGCTATTTTTTCTATTTTCAGTACGTACACAGTCAACGCGGTTATTATTCGTGTATTTCAACGCTTAAAAGTATCGATCGTCATTTTAGTTTGGTGTTTTACAGTATTACTAATTAATGTTACTACCAAGAAACACGTACACAGACACGCGCCTGCACGTACACAATGTAACATCGGCAGTCGCGTACCTAATTGATTTAGCGCCTTCTTACTTCAAAAATTTTAAACAAATATATTTTGGAAAATATAAAAAATGTACCTTCTTCTGGGGAAACGACTTAAAGTTCAATACCAAATTACCAAATTGTTGGTAACCTGTGTGATTCGTATATTATTTTAAATTATTCAATTCTGATTTATAATTTTGACAATTTAAAGTTTAAGATGTACGATTAAAATAATTGTTCTATATTTGGAGTTATACAAACATTATAATCCACTACTAATTTTAGATACTTCTTCGTATACACTATTGCACTTAAAAACACTATTTCATTATTGCATGTAATATTATCTGATAAAAAATTATGTTTATTTATGTTACATATTGTAGTCATAAGGTCTTGTATTATTTTGTGCAATTAAATATGCTGTATATAATTAAAGGTTTTCCCAGGAAACGTAATTTTCCTGATATTAAACACTGAATAAAAGCGTTTGCTCACCGAAATCTTATAAATATTGAAACAGTAAAAAAAAGTAGCATTTTAAATAATGTATTCAACGATAACTATTGTTTGTAAGAAATAAGCGCGCCCTTCCTCATGATGCTTGACATCTACTGTTTTTGCTGTTTGTATCCTTTTAACATAGAAAACATTTAAAACAGTAAATTTACTTTGCTCAAATATTTGTATACGAAACATAATAAATTTAATTAATTGAAGAAGATGTCAATTTCATTTTCTCAAAACACTGAAATATCAACATTTTGTACTATGCAATCACGTTTCGTAAGTCGCCGACGAAAGAATGTTGTTCGATCGTGGCTTAATCCTTTATTGATAAAATCACTTCGATTTCCAGGCCGGTTCGGTTACCCGATATCAAAAGTACAGACGAGGTACGGAGTAAACCTATTACCCAATGCATTTTTTTGTCCCATGACACGGGGGCTCTAGAGACCCCTTACCATTTTTGTGTCACTTCCAATGTTACCGATTGAATACAGAATAAGATTACAACATTAGTAGTGGTTGGAATTAGAACTAAATGAAAAACGAAAATTGAAATTTTCGTTATTGTGTGATTCATTGTAACGTGCATGTTATCCTCTTCAAGTCTCGCTTACTTTCGAAATATCTATTCACATTCCTTGTCGATATGTTAGATTTTGGTGTAATAAGCTCGAGTCACTGAGTAATGGAGATGGGTCGTTAAAATTTAACGTGGGTGTATTAATTTCATAATGAGTCCGGTGAAAAAAAATTAATATGCTGTAGACAAAACTTCAAGAAATTCAAGTTCGTGTCTGGACTTATTTTCAACAGACGAACCTTAGCAATCCATCCGCAATAGTTTCACGAAGATTCAGTGAAAAGTATAAAAATTTTAATTTTCGGTAATGAGTGTCTAATTGGATGTTTGTAATTGTCGGTTTGATCTTTCACCGACGGAACACACCAGATTCGAACATTGCTTGCTTGTTTTAAAATAATCTTTCTCTATTCTGATATCCTTTCCTCTATCATTTTCCTTTCTGTTCTTTTTTCTAACACGAAAAGTTATTTTTATTATTTTAGAACTAAAATAATAACAGATTTGAATAAAAATAAGATTTAATATAATTCTTAAATCGTAGGAGGCATAACAGAACCTTTGATTTTGTACACGATCGGTATTTCAGAATGTGAGACACGAAGTCCCGTAAGGTGATAAATGTATTCTATATCTCGTCTGTGTCATAAGATCTATACTGCTTTCCGGTCAGTTTCCCAGTTTTTCCGTTTTAAAGAGCATGGCGCCAGCGTCGCGCTCTCCAGCTTACTCCTCGCAACTATGTTAGCGAGTAGCACGAGAGGGAAAGGTTTCTAGCGCGCAATGCAATTAACAAACGTTACAACACGCTCAAATTCGAACAAATTGGAGAAGACCCTACGACGATGAAGTTCGATTTAACTTCTCGTTATCCGGTTCGGTAGCTATGAAATCTCATCGATACGTCTTGTGTTTCACACCGTTTCTCCCTTCTACTTGCCTCGCGTTATCGATTGTTACGAACGCGCCGACTGATAATGCGTTAAATGTGCACTTCCCTTAAACTGAAATCATATATCTACGCGTCCACTTGCCGGAAGGAATCGAATATCACGGTACAATCGGGATCATGTATGTCGTGCAAAATTAACGTGCGCTCGGACACTGTGCGGCATGAAGGTGAGTCGATGTAATAAATATGCGAACAGCTTTTTGTCTCGGTAATTTATACTATGTAGATATTTAATGTACGTAGGTAGATCTTTATTTTTCTTTATTTTTTTTTTGGACAGGCAAGAAGTTTATGTTAGTGTAATAATAGCACGACATTTTTTGCACGTTCATTTCCCTCCTTTTTTTTTTGAAAGATTTATTGTGGAATATTTGATTTGTCCAGACTATACTTTGGTATGACCGGAAGATAAGAAATGTGTATGATCACCGAACATATTATTACCAAATATAACGTTACCTCTAACCATAACCTAATGTGTATTATTAATGCAACAAGTACGAATGAAAATAAAATTTGTAAATTATTAAAAATTATTTTCAGAATTTAATAGCTTACTTCAAATAACTTAGAATGCAAATGTTTAGTTTTACATTTTATTTTCTTTACAAAATAATTTGAGTTTTTATAATGCAACCAATAACGTATCACCCTGTATGTATGCAACCCTTGAACCGTGCAGGCATGCAGCCAATGCATCAGGCGTGCTTAGAGTAATATAAACACGTTATTAAATTTTAAATATTCACTTCTCTGTTAGACTTTTTATATTGCATTAATTATACATATTAAATAAATTTTATTTACAACAGTATTAAATCGATACTGCAATAAAGAGCAACATTTTCTTAGCAAAATATCACACGTGTATGCATCAACGGGAAATAATTAAAATTTTTTATAGATATGATAGATATAAAAATATCTATCTTAACATATCAGTATGGAGGAAGAAGACTGATAGCTTGATATAATGGAATCCAGGATGCCAGTGAAATACGACGATTCTTAAGTTCAGGATGGAACTTCGAAAAGGGCCTTGGTCGAAAAAAGTCCTGGTTCCAGCCTGTTTTCTGGTAATTCTAATCTGGATCTTTTTAATCGACAATTCCTTACTACTCGCCGGTCCGTCTGGAAAAGCTACCTTACAAAAACCCAGAAATTTCATTTCCTCCGTGGACGATTCAAATTTGGACCGTTTAACGAACAAGGAATCCTCTCTGATAAACGATATCGAATCGAAGCATTCGAAAGTATCGAAGCTTCTACTTGTGCCGCTTTGGACTGGCAACACCAGCATCAAAGGAAACGCAGGATTTCTGCGAAAGTATCAGATCTTGAGACAGCAAGGTTTGATGCCCAGCAAACAATTGCCAACCGCGTTGATAATTGGCGTTAAAAAAGGTGGAACAAGAGCGTTGCTAGAATTCTTGAGGTTGCACCCTGCTATTCGCGCTGCTGGATCTGAAGTACACTTTTTTGATCATCATTACGTCAAAGGTTTCCATTGGTATAGGTAGGCATATGTGAACATTGTACACTGTTCACCGATCTGATTGATTTACTGTATTAGTAACTTCACTGATACGCAAATAAAATACGATCGTAACTGAATAATTTTGGTAAATAGTATAGGATCTGTTATTTCAATAGGTTGCAATTCTATTATTTGTAACTAATATATGAACTAATATTTCTTGGAAAGATTCGTTATTTTATTCTTCCGATATTTCTACCGTTGTCTCATTTGAATAATATGTTTCAGGCACAGAATGCCCCCGACTTTGGTAACTCAAATCACGATGGAGAAAACACCATCGTATTTCGTGACTAATGAAGTGCCGAGGAGAGTTCAACGCATGAATCCGGCGATGAAATTGATTCTCGTAGTAAGGGATCCAGTTACTCGAGCGATATCCGATTATACTCAAGTGAAGAGCAAGCGAGCCAACATGCCGAAGTTCGAAGATCTTGCGTTTCTGAATGGATCGAAAATCGTGGACACGTCATGGGTACCTTTGAAAATCGGCGTATACGCGCGACATTTAGAGAGATGGCTTCAATACTTTCCATTGTCACAATTTTTATTCGTGTCCGGTGAAAGATTGATCGTGGATCCTGTCGCTGAGATCACGAGGGTTCAGGATTTTTTAGGGTTAAAGAGAGTTATATGCGAGAAGCATTTTTATTTCAACGCGACGAAGGGGTTCCCTTGTCTGCTCAAATCTGAGGAACGTCCTACACCCCATTGCCTTGGTAAGTTCTGTTAAATGTAATTACAATTTAGAGGTAACATTTACTTCTTAAAGAAATATAATAAAAGAAGTGGCTATTTGTTATGTAGAAATTGTTGAAACTTTTAATCACATGATAACTAATATTATCAATAAGTGCAAATTATTGTTAGCTCTTGAGAGAGTTGTGCATTGATAGTTTTGTGTGTAACGATTATGTGTAATTTCAAGGTAAGAACAAGGGTCGCAGTCATCCTTATATAGATCCTGTAGCCATACAACGATTGAGAGATTTTTATCGTCCATTCAATCAACGTTTCTACCAATTGACCGGAATGGATTTCGGCTGGTTGTGAGAATAAATGCGATAAGCGAATACATATCGAAGCTAGTCAAGTAAAACATAGTCAATTTTTACTGAGATACGACACGCGCATATATGGGGACGCCATTAGTTTGCACGGAAGTAAAATAATTATTCGTAAAGAACGAGATACTCATATTTTGTTTAATTCTCATCCGTTTTTACGTGACTCGGAATATTTTTTTATACACGTAAAGGTGAAAAGACACGCATCGTTTCAATGTGTTGACAATACACAGAAGAGAATTCCTGTTCTTGTTCGTGATATTACTTCTAGACACATGAATAGATTTATAGTTATCGCAGAATGTTATTGATTATATGCATCATTTTTCGCATAAATATACTCCACTCTATTTTATACGCGATATTATGAACAGAAAAATGTATGAGAATCTCAAACGATAGAAAAAAAAACCGCATGAATTATTTACAAGTTTTTCTCGTTTATTAGAAGACTGTTTCTTTTTATAGAACTTTGTAGATTAAGTTTAAATTATGTCTTGCAGTGAAACATTTTAGCAGGACGGTTAAATATAATATATTTCTATTAACCTAGAGAGGATATTTTCAATTGTTATTTGTTATATAGGATTGTGTTTATGTTAGAGAAATGTTTTATATGCGTATTTTGTTGAATTTTTAATCTTCCACTGCGTTCAGTGCAGTGTTTCCATTAACGTTGACATTATTATTACATAACAATACTATTAAACCGAAGTATGTAATTTTCCACTTTAATAACAAGCAAAACAAAAAAAAAATTGATACCTTCGAATTAGAATACTGTTATAAAATTAAATAAAAAAATTATCATATATTTAAGGGTTCTTATAGCGCGGGAACGAATTGAGTACAATTTATCGTAATAAAAAGTTATATCTCTGCTTGTACAATTTTAACGAACATACTTCGGTTGGAAACGAAAGCATAGGAATATTAATTACGTCAATTAGACATTTGTAACGCCACGAAGGTTATTAAAAAGTTTGCATAACCCATATGAAAACATATAATTAATTTCGATACGTGCAAGTAGGCACCGGCTTGCACAAATTGCAGTAAAAAATAACATATCTATATTTTGCAAACGTGCACGCACACATACACATATTATAA